AGCAATGAAAATAATAATTTTATGGTTGGAGGTCACCACAATATGAGGAACTGTATTAAAGGGTCACTGCATTAGGAAGGTTGAGAACCACTGAAGTAGAACCTCTGTCAACATAAGGAATTAGGCCTGCTGTACTGAAAAACACATGTGGTGCATGTCTGGTCTATGAAAATTAGTTCAATTTTGGGTGGTCAATGTCAAGAGGTGGTCACCTATGGAGGCTCTACTGTATATGGCGTGTACATATGGTAAATATTAATGATCTTGAAGCGTACTCTGCATTAAATACACTGACATTATTGTGCATTCAGCACCACCATCCATTTCCAGAACTTTTTTATCTTTCCTAACTGAAACTCTGTACCCTTTAAACAATAACTTCCTATTTCCCCCCAGCTACTGGCAACAGCCATTCTATTTTCTGTCCCTATCAAGTTGACTTTCCTAGGTACTTCATATAAATGGAATTATAAAGCATTATTATGCTCTGGGGTTACTGCCCTCACAGAGCTCACCTACTGGGAGGCCCACAGGCAGGACTCTGGCTCCTATGCGAGAAGAGCTCTGCTAGGACAAGCACAAACCTCCTTAGAAATGCAGTCAAGAGGGCAGCGGACTCAGATTTGTGCTGAGAGCTTTGGGCATTTCTCTGTATGTGTGTTACGTAGCAATAAACGGTTGACTAAGAAAGTGCTGAGAGGAAGGATCCAGTATAGGGAGAGGTTGAGGACCATAAGGAGGCAGGACTTTTCCATGGACCCCGGGGCCTGAATCAGAAGAGTAAGATCAGGGCCAGGAGAGAAGCAAGAGAGGCATCAATGAGAAAAATGAGAGCTCAACTTGAAAGCTGAGCAATGTCTGACATGTGCTGTTGTATTTGCAGTCCCATTTAATCCGCTGGCACTGCCCCTCTTAGAGATGATCCACTTAAGAATGTCACTTGAACTTACAATATCTGAGTAGGGATCATGTTAGAAGTCACCAATGTGTTAAGGCCCAAAGGGCGGTGTTAAGGGGGAAGACAGTAGACAGTGTGGAACTCTAGGGTATATTGATGATTTTGGCCTCCAGATTTTTATCAGCTCTGTCCCCACAAAAGCTCTCTGTATTGCTAATAAGACACAACAATCTTTGTGCCCTCTTACCCTTTCTCCACCCATTCCTGTTGGCTTGTTTTTCTTTCTAAAATAGGGCTCTGCCCGCTGCATGCCTCTTTGGCTGGCGATGGCCTCCATGACATCATTGTGGTGGCTGCCCTTAACGTAGGCTTCCTGGTCCACTCTGGTCACATTCCAGACACCACAGGCCAGAATGACTAGAAAGGCAGCCCAGGGCTACGTGGAACTGTCTTAGGGAAGCACTGCAGTAGCTGGGAGTATACATAAGCAGATGAACCTTAAGGCAACAGGATGGAAGTCTGGGAAAGAATGAAAGCACAGCTGCTCCCAGTCTGAGCTCTCCCATACACGTTTGCTGCTTTTTATAAGACTATCATTTTCTGGGCGGCGCCCATAGCTCAGTGGATAGGGTGCCGGACACATACACCAAGGCTGGAGGGTTTGAACCTGGCCCTGGCCAGCTACAACAATGACAACTGTAACCAAAAAATAGCAAGGCGTTGTGGTGAGCACCTGTAGTCCCAGCTACTTGGGAGGCTGAGGCAAGAGAATTGCTTGAGCCCAAGAGTTAGAGGTTGCTATGAGCTGGGACGCCACGGTACTCTACCCAGGGCGACAGCTTGAGACTGTCTCACACACACACAAAAAAGACTGTCATTTTCATTTACAAGATATGTTAAGTATCTGCACTAATTAAGAGGTTTATTTTTTTAAGGACAGTTTTACTGACACATAATTCACTTACCACAAAATTTATCCTTTTAAAATGTAGAATTTAGTGCATTTTAGTATATTCATAAAGTTGTGCAACCATCATTACTGTCTAATTCCCAACATTTTCATTACCCTAAAAAGAAATCCCATACTCAGGAGCCACTCTCATGCCCCTCACCCCCAGCCCATGGCAAACTCTAGCCTATTTCTATTTTCCTATTCTGAGCATCCCACATGAATGGAATTACCCAGTGTGTCGTCTTGGGTGTCTGGCTTCTTTCAATTAATGTTTACAAGGTTCATGGATGGTTTTAGTACATATCATTAATTCCCTTTTATGGCTGATAGTCCACTGTATGGAAAAAATATTTTGTTATTCACTGAACAGTTGATGGACATGTGTTTTTTACAGTTTGTGGGTATTATAAATAAAGCTATGAATACTCATATTCAAGTGTTTATGTGGATGTTTGTTTTCTGTTCTCTTAGGTATTCCCAACGTTGCAGGAAGACGAGGTCCAACAGAGAGAAAGAGCACCCAAACACCACGTTTATAAGAGGAAGGGCTGGCTCAGGGCTTGTGGCTCAAGTGGCTAAGGCACCAGCCACATACACCTAAAGTGGCAGGTTCAAATCCAGCCCACGGCTGCAACCAAAAAATAGCCGGGCGTTGTGGCCGGCACCTGTGGTCCCAGCTACTTGGGAGGCTGAGGCAGGAGACTCGCTTGAGCCCAGGAGTTGGAGGTTGCTGTGAGCTGTGATGCCAAGGCACTCTACCCAGGGGGATAGCTTGAGGCTCTGTCTCAAAAAAAAAAAAAAAAAAGAGGAAGGGCTTTAGTCACCAGCTGGGAGCTTGCGGCATACAAGAATTCCAAATGGCCGTGCTCCCCTACTGGCTCCCTTTTTATCAACAGTCAAAAGTTCCACCCCACAGGTACCCTTCTCATTGGCCAGTTTGAATCAAGCGGGAGATGCTATTCCAGCCCCTACAAGAACTACAGGATTTCACAGAACTTGGAAATTTCCAAGTTCCAGGAAGTTAAGTTTGCAAATTCCCAAAAGCTGAGTCACCATGGAGAGGACCCTGCAGGTGTATCCTTGTGGTCTCCTTGAGAAGACCCATTCTCCTAGACCTCACCCTTCTCAGGTATCCCGTCTCACCAAGAGTAAAATGGAGTAGAACCGCTGGATCATATGGTCACTGTCTTTTTGAGGAACTGCCATATTTCCAAAGTGGCTGGTTAACTGTAAGTCTTACAGTTTTCTAAGCCATAATGAAGGAAAATCTAAGATTAGCAGCAGAACTGTTTGGAAATTGATTGATTGTAGTTCAAAATAGCTGAATTACTTAAAGAGCAATTTTTTTTTTCTTAATACCATTTGTGAGATTACTCCAGGTTGATACATGGAACTCTTGCTCACTAATTTTTATTTTTAACTGACAAATAGCTAGCTGTATATATTTATAGGGTATCATGTCCTGTTTTGTTACATGTATTCATGTGGGATGATCAAATCAGACTAATTAACATAGCCATCACCTCAAATATTTATCATTTTTTTGTGGTGAGGACATTTTAGATCCTCTTAGCTATTTTGAAATATAACATTATTAACTGTGGTCACCATGCTGTGCGGTAAATGCGCCAGAACTTAATCCTCATAACCTTTGTACTGTTTGGCCAAGGTCTTCCTTTTTCCCACCTATGTGTCCCCACTCCCACATCCCAACCTCTGGCAATCAGCATTCCATTCTCTGAGTTTGACTTCTTAGATTCCATGTAAATGGGGTCACAGGGTATTTGGTTCTGTGTCTGCCTCATCTCACTTAGTATAATGTCCTCTAGGTTCATCCACATTGTCATGAATAACAGGATTTCCTGCCTTTTAAAGGCTAAATAGAATGGGAGGCCAGTGCAGGAGGACTGCTTGAGGACAGGAGTTTGAGACTAGCCTGGGCAATATAGCAAGACCTTTTTTCTCTTAATCAACCAACCAATAAAGGCTGAAGAATATTCTACGGTGTACATATACATTTTATTAATCCATTCATTTTTTTAATGGGCATTTTGATGGTTTATTATCTTTGCTCTCGTAAATAATGCTACAACGAACATGGGAATGCTGACATCTCTTCAACATATTTCAATTTATGGGAATATATAAATATATTAAATATATAAATACATAAGTATATATAAATATATTACTGGTTATATACCCAGTAATGGGATTGCTAGATCATATGGTAATTCTATTTTCGGTTTTTGAGGAACCTCCATCCTGTTTTCAATGTGGTTGTACTAAATAATACCACCAACAATGTAGAAGGGTTCCCTTTGATAAAGAATAAAAAAGACAGGTTCAATACAATGCAAGTGTATTAAAGAAATTACATCTATGTTCCAGAAAAGATTTAAGATCGCTAAACCATTAGTATGTTTAGTATGTGTTGTTCTGATATAATTTTTAGAACTAGAAACAAGTCACCAGAGCAATTTAAAATGCTACTTTAAGGTAAAATACTACTATAGGAACAACAGAAGTAAAATTAACAATTTCAGTATCATGTTAGGTCGTCTATAATCAGGAATGTCCCAGATTCTTTACTTTTGCACACAAAATAGGAACAATGTTCAGATTTTACTAATATAGCTATGCAGATGATGGTGAGAAAATAAGGACACACACTTTTTTTTTTTTTTGAGACAGAGACTCAAGCTGTCCCCCCTAGGTACCTGGGTAGGGTGCTGTGGCATCACAGCTCACAGCAACCGCCAACTCCTGGGCTCAAGCGAGTCTCCTGCCTCCACCTCCCAAGTAGCTGGGACCACAGGTGCCTGCTACAACGCCTGGCTATTTTTTATGGTTGCAGCCATCATTGTTGTTTGGCAGGCCCAGGCTGGATTTGAACCCGCCACCTTAGGTGTATGTAGCTGGTGCCTTAGTCTTTTTCTTCAATTAGTAATAAAGCTACAGACATGTGGAAGAAACCTTCGTGAGTGCCTTAGTCTTTTTCTTCAATTAGTAATAAAGCTACAGACATGTGGAAGAAACCTTCGCGAGCGACAAGACCCTCTCAATAAAGGTCTCAATTTCCTTTTGAAAGAAAATGACATAATAATGAAAGTTGCTAAGGCAGGAGAAAAATAACCCCACCACTCAATGTACACAGATACCTTTATTTACAAGGAACTTTCATTTTTTGATCCTTACAACCATCCTATAACACAGGCAGGTTTCACTCACACATCCTAATGATGTCTTTTCCCGATCAACACTGAAGGATGCCAAGAAAAGTCTGCTCTTAGACCTCTATGTATTTAAAGAATAAATGTTGAAAAAACTGTTTTACTAACTTTAGTTTCAGAAATTGCACTGTACATATCTTATTTTCAAAGTCCACCCTTCAGAGAAGATAAGAAATTTCTGAAATCCAACTTTGGATTCTTTTGGGATTCATTTTGACTAAGCAACATTTTCAGTCGAGAGAAGTGTTTCTTTGTGTTGCTCACATTCTTTGAGGAGCCAGCAGACACTGACTGTTCAGTTGTAGGTGTTCTGAAAGGGAATAAAACCACACTTAGTTATACTGTCAAATGACAATTTAAAAAGTAATTGACAACTGTTACTAGAACCATATTCTGCTCTTTTGTATTATGACCATATACAGGCCACAGCTGCAGTTAGTGTAGTCATTCCTATTTTGTTAAAAATTCTGAACAAGCAACATTTAGGAAGTGTACTGGGTCATTCTGGACCTATTATACTTGAAAGAGTAAGTTTAAGGTAGGGGTCCTCCAACTTTTTAAACAGGGGGCCAGTTCACTGTCCCTCAGACTGTTGGAGGGCCGGACTGTGGGCCTCAGGACAGGTCGGCTGCTAAGCAGGACAGGCAGCAGCGGCAAAAACACCCAGAGGGCCAGATAAATGTCCTAGGCGGGCCACAGTTTGAGGATGCCTGGTTTAAAGCATCATCAGGCCCATGCTCTCTTTTAAGCCTAATAACAATTCTTAGCAAAGACTTTAAAAACATATTCCTTCCTCACAGCTGAAGATACTCCATTTCTCAAACATGAAGGATCTCAACCTACAGATGTACTTCTATCGTGTCTTCTCTACTGGAATGTAAGCTCTACAGGGCAGACACCTATTACTACTAACTGTATGTTCTAGGGGTTTCTGACAGTGCCAAGCATGGCACTGGAAGGTGCTCTGAAAATATCCACTGAATAAATGATTTCCATCTGATATGTGTGTATTTCATCTCCTCTTAGTTTTGTTCCATCCCCATGAACCGTTAATTGGGGTTTGTAGTCTGATTTCTCCTTTTGACTCCCTATCTATATGATAAATGTGAAATATCTTTCCCAATCTTGCATATATCTAAGGAGGAGTCTGGTCTCAATGCAACTAGTTTATTTATAAATAAACCAAATTTTCTTTTATTTATTTATTT